AAAAGGGTTAGAATATCAGAATGACAGTGGCGAAAATCATTTTGATTCTGATATCATGGACGACACGGAGTCTGAGTACGAAGAAGGGAATAATGCAGATATGAACTGAAAGGATCGCCTTCTAGGATTAAGAGATCGAACTCGTCTAGTCGTCTGGGACAACCAGCATATTTTAATGATTACGTTATCTTAACATACACTGACGTAATGAAAAGTGTAGATAAAGAGCTTTGGGAGAAAGCGATAAATGAGGAAAAAATGTCTCTTGCGAAAAATAAAATTCTTGTAAAAACCGAAGAAACGAAAGGCAGAAAAATTTTGAGTAGCAAATGGGTATTCAAAGAAAATTAAAATGGAACCAGGACAGCTACACTAGTTGTAAGAGGTTTTCAACAAAGTGTAATAGATTTTCAAGAAACATATAGCCCTGTTGTAAATATGACAAGTTTGCGAGTACTTCTTACGATAACGGCTGCTAAAGAATTTAAAATAAGAATGTTTGACGTAAAGACAGCGTTTCTTCATGGGGAATTGGAGGACGAAACATTCATGCAAATTTCGGAAGGTTATCCAAAGAAGAAAGGAATTATATGTAAGCTGCAGAATCAAACTTTGACGAAAGGCTCAACGAAATTGTACTGAAACCACTAAAATGCGATAGTGGTATTTTTAAAAATGAATCAAATAATAATTATGGGGAAGAATCTTGCAAGAGGTAGATGAAATTTTGAACAATATCAAAAAGATGTTCGAAATGAAAGTAGATCATTTAGCAGGAATGGAAATTTCATAAGACACGAATGGAATTCGTTTAACACAGTCTTTGTTCTGCGAACAATTAGCGCAAAAATTTGGTTTGACTAATGCTAAGGATTCTGAAATACCAATCATGGCAAAAGATGAAACTGGCCGAAATTTAAAAGGTATTTTCCCATATCGTGAAGTAGTAGGAAGTCTCTGGTCTACCTCAATTGTCAATAAATTTAAACGGTTTAGGGAATGAACTGAAAGTGATGAACTTTGTTGTGCCAAGTTTGGGGGAAGGTGTTGAACTAAGTGTTCTGTACAAACTTTGTGTAAAAGTATCAAGTAGTTAATGTTTAAAATAATTGAAGTTGTTTTATTCCATAAAATTAAAGCTTGTCAATTTGTATTATAATTTATTTAATATCTTTGATTTACAAAAATATAAGCTGCAGAGAAGTTTATATAACGCGGATATGTATTTCTAGGTAAGATTCAGAGTACAATTTCCACATTCCGCACAATTTTTTGGAAATTATCGTTTATACAAACCTTCTGATGATAATGACAAAAACAACAACAAAAAGATTATATTTGGTGCAGTTGTCCTGAAGTGATGCGCGGACATACATTTCAGTGATTCATTTTTAAGGGAATTTTTGAAGACAGCTATGTCAAATTTTCGCCAATCGATTTCTACAAATTAAAGGGTCAGTGCAATTGAATACGAGCCTGATTAAAAGTCTGGTTTTCGAATGCGCGCCGAGTGGCAAAAAATTCCCCTACTGACAATCGTATGCGATTCCTCCTATCTTATTATTTATGTAGATAATACATTTTCCTGAAGCTGTATATATTTCGTGCCACGATGAACTTGATTAACAATAGATCGGAATTTATCATTTTAGATTAATTGCTTAAAATATTGACTAGTCATAAACAAATGTATTTTTACTCAATATTATCAATTATCGTAAGTCGGCATGTAAGATCTAAATTGCCACTTATTATCATTAAAACAATGTCGGCCTTCAAACTACTTAGAACTATTCTAAAATTAGATGCCATGCAGCTAGAAAAAAAAGAAAGTTTGTGCAAATTGGACGTATCAAATGACATATTACGTTTACAGCCACTGATATTCTAATCGTTTGACGCCTTAAATCTGATCATTGGAACAAAGCTTCCTCTCTTTGCTTTCCGTTCGGCTTTGTTTTTCACGCTATCAAACAATATTATTGTTGTATTAGGCAAAATCAATCATTTCGAAACTAATTAGCAGTGCGGATAAAAATGCATTTATTTTTATAAAATAAGCGCTTATTATATGCATCAAAACGGGCAAAAAAGCTAAAAAAAGGCAAAGTAAGCAAACAAATGCACAATCAACCATCCACACAAAAAAAACCTGTATTCCTCAATAAAACATGATTATGATGAAACTAACTCTAATTATCGGAAAAACAATTAACAATTATGGATTTCTCCAAATTTGCAATTAAAAATTTTGCCTTCGGTCCGATAAAATATTTTTATAGACGGAAAAGCTTCTCTCGACATCTGCAGAGGTAATTGGTGCAAATTTAAAGAATTTAAAGTTTAATGGTGCTGTAGTATGTGCTTCTAAATCTTCAACGAAATTTCCGTTTAGCCTTTTGGAGATTTTCGAAAGAATATGAAAACCAGAATTTTTTGTTAGCACGTCCTCTAATTTCTTCTGAACTATATCGGCTATTAGACCGTTTATCTTATTTGTGTCTCTTTGAAAATCTACGATTTTAATTGATTCGTCAAGTGGCAAATTTGGGGATTCTAATTTTTTACAGTGCGCTATTCATTAAAAAAATGCAAATCCCAACATTCTTGCCCACATTAAGTTAATATGCGAGATATTATTCTAATCTCAGTGTAGAAATGTAAAAAAAGGCAAGAAAAAGCGTTTAAAGGCATTTAAAGCACCATTGTTAAAAAAAAGCAAAAAAGCCAAAATAAAAATAGCCTCAAACGCTTTCTTTTTTCATGAAACGTGTATATCCAAAACCATTATGTTCTGCATTCAACATTAAGGTGTAGGCAAAATGCCATAAATCCGCACTCTACTCATTACTGATTATCGACCTGCTACGGTAAGTNACTAAAGGTCGATTCTCACTTTCGTGCAAGGCACGTACTCGGCACAGGCAAGGCACCGACTCGGCAAAATATCTATATTATTGAATCTTATGAATTTTTTGGGGTATAATTCACACTATGCGAGCAACGACTCGGCCAGCTACGGCCTTTGCACGCAGCGTTCTTCCGAAACAATATTTGCCGGGCATGTACCGTGCACGTTCCGACAAGTGTGAATACAATCTGTGCAGGTCACCGACTTTAGTTCATTTTTCATAGTACAAGAAAGGTTGAAGGGTCAGCAAAGGAACACTTTTTCAGCGGAACAAGATGAGATGCTGATTGAATGTGTCCAAGAAAATGATTTCGGTCATAAAAGATACTTCTTATGCATTTTATGTACACAAAAACGTATTTTTCTTTTTCTGCAATATGTACTTTCTTGTTCTTCATCATCTAATATTAGACCAATTTTAATTAACGTGAAAGTTTCGAACATTTTTACAGTTGAAACTCACGTAGAAACTGCTTACCTGCGGCAAGCGTGTCGCAGTGTGAATTGAACTCAAAAAACTTTGCCCGTGCCGAGTATGTGCCGTGCCGGTTCTTTGCACGAAAGTGAGAATCGGCCTAATGCTAAGGATTTGAATATACCAATTCATGGCCAAAAGATTGAAACTGGACCGAAATTAAAAGGTATTTTCCCATATCGTGAAGTAGTAGGAAGTCTCTGCCTCTACCTCAATTGTCAATTAAATTTAAACGGTTTAGGGAATGAACTATAAGGATGAACTTTGTTTCGTGCAAAGTTGTGGGGAAGGTGTTGAACTAAGTGTTCTGTACAAAACTTTGTGTAAAGTATCCAGTAGTTAATGTTTAAAAAATTGAAGTTGTTTTATTCCATAAAATTAAAGCTCGTCAATTTGTATTTATAATTTAATAATCTGTTGTTTACAAAAATATAAGCTGCCAGAGAGTTTATATAACGCGGATATGTATTTTAGGTAACATTCAGTGGTACAATTTTCACATTGCCGCACAATTTTTGGAAATTATCGTTTATACAAACCTTCTGATGATAATGACAAAAACAACGAGTGGCAAAAAATTCCCCTACTGACAATCGTATGCGATTCCTCCTATCTTATTATTTATGTAGATAATACATTTTCCTGAAGCTGTATATATTTCGTGCCACGATGAACTTGATTAACAATAGATCGGAATTTATCATTTTAGATTAATTGCTTAAAATATTGACTAGTCATAAACAAATGTATTTTTACTCAATATTATCAATTATCGTAAGTCGGCATGTAAGATCTAAATTGCCACTTATTATCATTAAAACAATGTCGGCCTTCAAACTACTTAGAACTATTCTAAAATTAGATGCCATGCAGCTAGAAAAAAAAGAAAGTTTGTGCAAATTGGACGTATCAAATGACATATTACGTTTACAGCCACTGATATTCTAATCGTTTGACGCCTTAAATCTGATCATTGGAACAAAGCTTCCTCTCTTTGCTTTCCGTTCGGCTTTGTTTTTCACGCTATCAAACAATATTATTGTTGTATTAGGCAAAATCAATCATTTCGAAACTAATTACCTAAACATGGCTGTGTCTAAACAAATAATTTGAAAAATGTTAGTCGTCGTAACAGACTAAGGGCCTTGTCCCACCAAAGAGGCGCAACAGCGACACGATTTCGACATGGCACAAGCAGGCAACAGGCAACGCGTTTTCTATATTGGTTCCGTGAAAACGACGATGTGACTGCGATGCAATGGTGCTAACGAAACAGAAAATGGAAAGTGCTTTTATTGCAAAAAACCAAAAAAATAAAATGGTCGTTGCTGCTATGAGTGCTAAGGAACTCGACGGGCACCCAGTGCATATCTACTAGTTTTACATGAAATTGTTGTTCATTTTTCTGTTATGTCATGATATTAATTTTCCTTCTCCTCATTAAAAACGCAAAATACCACCGCCACACAGCTTGAGTGTCGCTTCAAAACCGACATATCGAGTCGCTCGGCAACAAGGAGGCGACACGCAGCTTGATGTTTCTTTGCTGTAGCGTTGGTGGATAAGTAAGTATACGGTGTATATAAACCATCGATTAAACACAAAACATACATGGTCACTACATCATGTCGATGTCGTCACAAAATTTGCCACATGAGTGATTCAAAGTGGCTCAATTCTGAGAATTGCAATACAAAAGTCAAAAACCAGCTATCTATAAAATTTTAGGTAGGTACATGAGAGTGCACAATAAAAGTTCCACGGAAACGATAACACAATATTATCAAGCCAGTTGACATGAGAGCCAGATTAAGATCGGTTGACCTGCCATATATTAGCAGATCGAAATAGGAAAGATGTTATTATAATTATGAGCCTTCCATTGATCTTGTGCGCATTATTGGGGTTTGTTTGGAGCGTGGATGGAGCCCTCGTAAGAAGTAAGATACAAGCTGCGTCTCCAATCAAACCAAATGTGGAGAGCAACTGTGCTAGGCAATGTGTGGATGGAGAAACAAAAACGTGTTACTATCAATTTCATATAGAACACTACACCACCATGGGATGGTAAAATATACTGAACTACTTGAAACTATTTAACTAACTAATTCTAGGCCGTGCGACTACAACTCGTCGAATTGCATTCAAGCTGATGGTGTGGAAAGAAGTATTAACACGGTCAATCGCATGATGCCAGGTCCCAAAATTGAAGTGTGCGAAGGAGATACAGTTGTGGTTGACGTTCACAACGAAATTGTTGGACAAGAAGTTACAATACACTGGCACGGGATTTGGCAAACAGGCACGCCACACTACGACGGAGTTCCATTCGTCACTCAGTGCCCAATTTTCTCCGGTAACGCATTTAGGTAAGTCTCTTTTGCTACCCCAAAAAAGTACTACTCGTATCTCAGGTATAAGTGGAAGGCGGACAACCCTGGTACCCACTTTTGGCACTCTCACACCGGTTTTCAGAAAATGGACGGAATATCTGGAAGTTTAATTATACGACAAACCAGTTCTAGAGACCATCACAGTTCCGCTTTTAACAATGATCTCAGCGAGCATGTCATTGTGCTCAACGATTGGCATCATTATCTAACCTCAGAAACGTTCCCAGGACCTATGAGGGCTAGCTTAATTGGGAAACTTCCCAATAGTCTATTAATAAACGGAAAAGGACAAACCATACATCCCGACACAGGAGTTATGACGCAAACGCCATTGGAACATTTTTTCGTAGTTCCTGGGGAAACTTACAGATTTAGATTTATTAATGCAATGGGGTCGGTTTGTCCTGTCATTTTAACCATTGATCAACACAAGCTAATTGCCATTTCAAGCGATGGTGAAGACTTTGACAGCATTGCGGTTGATGGAATACAGTCTTGGTCCGGTAAGTTTTATGACTTTTCCGTTTTACTTTGATACTAATAAATATGTAACCGTAGCGGAGCGATTTGATTTCATATTTACCGCCAATCAGCCTGCGGCTAGCTATTGGGTGCGATTTAAGGCTGTCGGTGTTTGCCAATCAGCAAATATGCAGCAATTGGCTCTTGTACATTATAGTTCTGCACCTTCAGTACCAGCAGCTGATCCTCCTTCTCCCGAGTCCCCAGTTCCGCAAGGATTGGTACGTCCTGATCTCTTAAACGGAATGATTTCATACAAACAATTACAGATTTTAAACCGATACACTAAGGACTGCGCTGAAGATGACAAGGACAGTATCTGTTTCAACCGTTTGAAAACAAAAAGAGAAGTGGACAGCGATATTCTCAAAGCAAACGCAGATGTGAAGCTGTTTTTACCACTGGGTTCATATGATGTACCAGCAACTAGAGTGTTGAAGATCGACGACAAATTCAATGGTAACAACGCATAACTATGAGGATTGTATTGTTCTTACGTTGTATGTTTCAGTATTTGCGAAGAAAAAATTGAAAGCAAACAGAATAGACAACATTCAATACAAGTCAGCCCCATCGCCGCTAATATCACAGTACGACGACATAAATCCATCGCAATTCTGTAACGGAACACATAAACCGGAAAACTGCGGCAACAGTTGCGGATGCACGCACAAAATAGATCTTCCCCTAAATTCCGTCATCGAACTCATCCTAATCGAAGATTGTAAGTTCATAACTTGTAAATTGATGTTTAACCGCATTTTTCAGCTAAACCGAGCTTTTCACATACCATCCACTTGCACGGTTACGCATTTAACGTAATGGGAATAGGATCTTTGCCCAACGGACCTGGATCGCACCTCGACAAAGCGAAATGGCTTGACAGCAACGGATTGCTTCAGAGAAAATTTGATCGGCCTGCCTTTAAAGATACGCTAACTTTACCAGTCGGCGGTTATGTTGTAGTGAGATTCAAATCTGATAACCCGGGCTATTGGTTTTTCCACTGCCATTTCGCGCATCACGTCATGACGGGCATGAGTTTAGTTTTCGAAGTTGGAAGCAAGGAGGACATGCCGCGTGTTCCCGACCATTTTCCAAAGTGTGGAAATTTCCTCCCGCCAATTTGATGTTTTAATGCTATGTGCAGAATCTCAATACTAAATATTAAATTATTATACATTATATAACCTTTGTCTTGGCAATGAACAATCCAGATACACAAATAACATTTAATTGAAACGTGTTAAGAGGAATTCTATGAAAATAATATTTCCTAAAGAGGATTACAGCCCTGCTCCATTAGCGTAAAGATGCTAAGATAATTTAAACAATTTTAGCGTGATGACTCTGGAACTCACATCGACATTCTTCGCAAAGATAGACCTGTCATTACCACGACAAAAGCAAAAGTGAAAATCATGTCAATGCCAATGGTAGGTACCAACTACTCCCAACACACTAAGAGCGCATTCAGTCAGTTACACAAACCAGAGTGCTCTAGAAATTGCACAAAACTTCTAGAATCTATAGGAACTAAAGACTTCTACGATCTCTGCAAGAAGCATAATTACAAACATTTCCCAATCTCTAAGTTTCTAACATTTCTAAAGCTCTTTTGAGTTTTTAAAATATACTACAATTTCTCAAGTACTTTAAAGTTTTTAAAATTCTTCTAAACTTTTTGAAATCCAAAGTGAAGCTACCAAAATTTACAAAAAAGACCGACCTTTCTAAAATGTATAAAGGCGGATCCTCGTAGTCATTAAAGTATCATGTCAAAAATATGGAAATGTTCCGTTCGCAGGAGGACTTTAACCTGAGTTTCGGTCACCCTCAACATTTTGCTTTGAAACCACCATTCGCTATTGGAGGCCGGTATTTTATCTTATCCGAGAAAGTTTCTTAACCACGTATTTTAATATACACTGTGTCCAAGATAAATAAAAATAAATATGTACATAAGGATGTCTACCATGCGGATCCCCGAAAGCGCAGAAGATACGACGATGGTCAAAGAGAAAAAATTCGAAATTAAACAGTTATAATCATGCTGTAAAGAAAAACCAGAAAATTCCGATTCCTTCCGAAGATATGCCATAAATACTGACATTTCGCGCTTTCTAATGTTATTTGAACAAATACAACAAAAAAAAACACTTTCTCATTACCGCTTTTTGAGCTGGATAAGACAGAGTTGAGAGACTTTCAATACAACGATTCGTTTTGGAGAAGTCATCAACTTTATTTTTTTATTTGCCTCGTAAAATAAGTACATACTGTATTGAGTTTTATTACGAAAACAACGATAAACGTCATAAACAAACAATGTGTTTTTCAATTTTTTTGTATATAACCGATTTTTCTGGCATATCTTCGGAAGTAATCGGAATTTTCTGGTTTTTCTGTTTAATTGCGCATCTTTTTTTCTAATTTGAGCACCGTCGTATCTTCTGTGGAGATCCCCATCGTTATCTTGGACATAGTGTACAGTGTCGTGTAAACAACTGTTTCGGTCCAAAACCCCAAAAATAATGACGGCACACCCTCTGTATATGAGAGTATTTCAATTTATTCAGTGTAAATCTGGGTGATTATGTAAGCACAAAGTTGTTTTATGGTATTAGAGATTGTGTCTGAGTGTTTTTTTTTCGTTTTCGAAGTTTTGTAAATGCGTGATTCTTGATTATATCGATCGCTTTTGTAATTATCTATTTAGATAAGGTGTTAAAAGTAAGAGATAGTAAAGCTGTGCAGAAGCAAGTTCATCAAAGTTGTGTAAGAAGTTTAACGCGTGTTGTCCGTTTACGGAAAAAGTTGAATTGAAAAAGGGCAAGGCCTTTTGTTGGGGTTTTCTTCTTATTAAAAGTTAAAAGTTTCTATCGTCCGAACAGACACCGAGAATTTGTTCATTTTATTCATCAAACCAGTTTTCCTTGTCATCTCATACTGTGTTATAAAGCAAAGTGAAGTTCAGAAACTGTCAACGTTGGTGTGAGTTTAGTGCGCCTTATATAACCCTTGTTCGACCAGTTTATTTGTATTACTAAGAAAAAAACTGTAATTTAAGTAATTTCAGTTGATTGTCGACTGCCTGCGTGCGGAGTAACAAGCTTTGTAAGCTTTTCTTCCTTGCAGGGATTCTATTTAATTTGGTTTCATTTAGGAATACATTTTTGTAATTGTCAATCAATTAATTGTGTGTTTATTCGAATCCTTTGTGCGACCAGGATGGTTTTTTTTCTATTCGGGCCCAGGATTTATTTCAGGTGTGAGTCAATTTGCGTAATAAATTCTTTGGAATTTTAGGAAGTTGATCGACGCCACCGAGTCTGTCAAGTTGAGAAATTTTAAGTCATTTTATGAGTTTTCTTCTAGTAAATTCCGGATGTGAAATTATACCTTTTGAGTCTATTTTTCCAAATGTGATTTTTCTATGGGGAGCACTTGGGGTGCGAGCTTTCATGAACGACACTTATTCATAGGGAGATAGTATATTCGGAATTCCAGGAGAATATTTTGGAGCCGAAATTAGTCAAAGAATTTTATGGAGGCGAGTGTCAGTGGACGAATACAGGAACATTCCTACTTTTTCTCGAAATTATTGTCGAAACTACAACATGTTTTCTTTAAATTATTCTCTAACCGCACTTCAATTGAGTGCCATTTCATGATTACTCCACTGCTTCATTGTCGATTAATTGATTAGGATTAACGTTTGATCAAAAAGGTACTTGCACCTGAAATTTCCCATCTCCCACCATTAAAAGTTTTGACAGCAAACATTCATAAAAGTTTAGGCTTTTATATGGCAACCAAGAGAATCGTATTCATATCTAAATGAGCTAATGTCAAAAACCCCAGGGTAAAACACCTAACCTTGAAACAAATTAAAAAAATTTTTTCATCCTAAGACCCAATTCAAATTTAGGCAGCGTACACAATCAAAGCTCAACATTTTTATTACCACACATGAAGAACTGAAGAAACCGTACTACTCAGAGCCATAATAAAGTACAGGGTGTCCTATTTTAATTGAGATTGCAGTGTACCTCAGCTTAAGATTAAAAGATAGAGGCTTTCGCGACCCTCTACTACTTTTGTGTGAAACGTTTGGACCACCGTTTGAGAGATTTGATCCAAACTTGGTATTTTTAAATGCAACACCCTGTGTTATCTTTTTTAGGAATTTTTTGCATTATTTTTCCTGATTAGGTACATGGATATATCACAACCAGGATCACAACCTATACTTTTTGGTATGACTGTATTATATTTTGTTCAAAATTTTGAAAGGGCTTGTTCTGCGGTCAGCGATTTATATTGATTAGTTTTAGTTACTATGGATACAATAAACAAAACAAAATCTCCATGAATCCATGGCCTACTATTTAAAAACCGTAAAAAATAAGGTTTTTATTTTTAGTCCATGGCTAAACTTAAAAAAAATTCTATCGCTTTTATTTTTTTTAAGGGGACGAAAAAATGTATTCAAAAACAGATTCTAAACCTTCCCTTTAAGATTAATAAAATAAAGTCAATGTAAAATATAAAAAACTTTGTTAAGGCATTTTTGGTATGGAATTGTTGCTAGAACAGATATCGCATTACCTTTCTGAATTTATTAAAAAAATAATATCGATTGTGATACGTAAATGTATTCAGGAAAAATAAAAAAATTGACGTTAAAATGTACAGGGTGTTGCATTTAAAAAATACCAACTTTAGGTCAAATCTCAGAAATGGTGGACAAACAATTTTTTTGAGTAAAGTACGTACAAATATATAAAATAAACAGTTTTGACTTTTTCTCTGTCTTACGTGGTTCAGAAATTAAAAAAATTTGTTTCATTTTCGTTTCTATCGTGTCTTAAACACACAGACAGACAGAAAGTATAATTTAGAAAAAAAAAACTAATAAAGGCTTTGGATTCTTAAGAGTTAATGCAAATAATCAGCCCTGTGATGTATCGGAAACGTCAGCCTTAACTTACAGGTTATCCTTTTACAGAAAACCTGTACGTTAAGTTTAAGGTTAGTGATACATCACAGGGCTAATTATGACAAGCCATTAGAACAAGGATGATGCTCCGCTGATTCCGCATGTTGCCAAGCTTTGTTTGTTTGTGTGTGGTACATTGTTGTATTCGTAAAATGCCATTTAATACAGTATGTAATTTTTTGCGGGCTATATAAAAAATTAAATTTGATGATGATCTCTCCGAAACGAAACCTTGTATGTAAAATCTCTTTAATTGCGCATCTTTTCACTGATTTGACCATCGTCGTATCTTCGGAGCTCAACCGCTAATTAAAAATAAGAATTGGCAATATTAAGAGACCAACAGGCCTTGAAGTAATGTGTATCAAGTAATGTGTCAGTCTGTCTGCCCGTTCCTTGCCAATTCGGTGTGGAAACACTCGCGAATGAATTTAAACGAGAAGAAAAATTGGCGTTTCATAACTCTTGGCCTGATATGATTATGGCTTTGAGTGTTGATGTCGAGGAAGAAGATCAAAAATGGTCGTTAAAGAATTTTAGGTTTCATCCCTTCGCCCCCAGCCACCCCACTTCGTAATTCAAAATAGCACCCCCTACCTTGTAATGCATCATTTAAAAGGGCATAAAATTTTCCACTCAACGGTGGAAAAAAAATGAAATCGATCGACTGGTTCTTAAGATAAACTGCACAGAAGATGGATGGTATGAAATCAATATTATGGAACCCAAAATTTTCTAGGTATCATTTGTGAACTTCCCTCTCCATATTTAAATCGCATGTTATTAAGGGTGGATACTTTTGAAATGAGCACAGTGTATTATTTGGAAAAAGTAGTTTTCGCGTAGCAACGAGCATACGATTAAATAATCAATTATTTTAGTTTATCCTAAACATAAAACAGCTACTAATTAATATTGGAAACGCTGAACGTGTCGTATATAATTTTCGTTACTTAACAAAGCGATACATCTTTATCTAAACGGCCATTTTTAGTTAGGTTTAGCAGTTGGCCCCTATAATCATATTTATTTCGTATATCTCACGTATCACGATAACATCATCATGAAAACTGTGCGGAAATTTGGATTTCAGTACAAAATGGGAAACATGAGAAATATAGGTGTGCTTCTTATTATTTCCCTGTTGGTAACTTCTGTAAAAGGTCTAAGAGTACGCCAGAATGGTAATCAGGCCAATGTTCACGCGAAATTAGACAAAATCGACGAGGAAAAAGATGATCAATCGCTCACTCGTCTTAAATCCACGCATGAGATTCCGGGATGGTACTCTTCTCCAGAAGAATGTAAACGGGATTGTACACGGAACGAATATCCAAAAGTTTGTTATTTCAAATTTGTGGTAGAGTATTATACAGTAAATGGAGGGTAAGTTTTCGACAAAAGACTGACGGTGCGAGCTAATTTTGTAGGGCATGTCAGATATGTCGCGTAACTCCTGAAACTCCAGGATGCGAATGTGTTCTAGCGGACGGTGTCGAAAAAACTATTGTGGTCGCAAATCGACGCTTTCCGGGTCCTCCCATAGAGGTCTGCTTGGGAGACACTGTAATTATAGACGTCGTGAACTCAGTTCCAGGAGCCGAGGTGACAATTCATTGGCACGGAGTTTTACAACATGGTACACCGTATTTTGATGGAGTCCCTTACGTTACGCAATGTCCGATTCACTACGGCGATACGTTTCGGTAAGGTAGTTCTTTCGGCAAACGGCACGTTAACATTTTTTGGGTGTAGTTATCGGTGGTACGCAACAAACGAAGGAACGCACTTTTGGCACTCGCACACCGGTTTCCAAAAACTCGATGGACTCAGTGGAAGCATTGTAGTACGCTCACCATGCGATGTCCACGCGGGTCTCTACGATTACGACCACCATACGTTGATGATACACGATTGGATGCATCATCTCGCCGCGTCTAGGTTTCCAGGACTACTAACCGGAGAAATTGGACAAGATCCGGATAATCTTCTTATAAACGGCAAAGGGCAATTCATTGGCAGTATCGTTGACACGCCAGTAGAAGTTTTCGAAGTTACCGCGGGAAAGAAATATCGATTTCGAATGATTACGGCAACGACCACCACATGTCCGGTTCAAATGGCAATACAAGGGCATAAATTACTCGCAATCGCCACTGACGGCGAACCATTCGATCCCGTTGAGGTCGACACTATCAGAGTTTTCTCCGGTACGTTGAAACATGACAAACCAAAGTTTAACCCTTAGTCTTTTAGCGGAACGGTACGATTTCATCATTAACGCCAATCGTCGTCGAGGATCATATTGGATTCAAATTAAATCGGTTGGACCGTGCGAACAATTTCAACTTAGCCAACTTGCCATTTTAAAGTATATTGGTTCCAATGGACAACCCGCAACGACACCACCTACTCATACTAACAGTTTACCAGAATTTAACGGAAAGGTTAGTTATCACATTCAACTTTTGTCTTGCGAGTTAATGCAGGGACGATCCTCAACCATACATTCTTTTAGTGCTGCATCTAATCTCTCATTTTATTGCATTGACAAAACCGTTGAACGCATGACTCATTAATAGAAAGACATGACAAATCTAAGATTGTTGGAGGAGAAGAAAGACATGGAGAGTTTTTTACTAGTTTATTAAAATTTCGCGTCAGTATTTTTTTCTTTATATATTTTTAACATCTTATCGATCACGTGATTACTCCTTTTTTTAAATCTGAACCAATACGTAATAAGTTAAAACACCAAATCAAACTATCTTTAATTTGTATTCATGTCATGGAAATTCTAGAAGAGTAAAAAAATTAGAAGATTTCTTTTTTTTTTCAATAAAAGATTTAGTTAGTGGAATAGTATTCGTAAACCGTGATGGAAATGGAGCTCTGCTTGGCTGCGTCGTTTAATTTCAATAGCGCTTGGTTCTCTTAATTACTTTCGGTGATTTTAATTGGGGCTTTATGATGCGAGCGACTATAGTCCGTAAAATCAATGAATTTCAATAACAGATTAGCGCTGATCATTGTTACTGCACGTGCGGTTACGTTTCTTGACGTTCGAAAACATTTAAAACGCCTATAACGCAGCGTCGCTCTTAGTTCATCGCGGGATCGGTAAAACAAAAAACCAACCCACATACGTCTTAGCAGAAATGTTTGGTGTTAGAACGGCAACGATATATAACCTCACGAAAACCACTAATATAAGCGCTAATCCGTAGTTGAAATTCATTCATTTTACAGACTATACCGGGATAGGACTAAGGGGCGAGTTTTTGGAGGCATTCGGTCTAGAAGTTTCAAATAGAACTCCCGTTAAGTTGCCGCAAAAAATTTCGTTAAATGTTACCATATATTTTCCGGGAATCGCTTCCAAACGTCAATTTCTCGCGAGTTTTTCGAAAATCTGACCAAAAAGCATCGGGAGCAGTAGAAGATTTTCTGGTCAAAAGTGTAGCGAAATAAAGATTTTCCGTCGGTAAGAGATTAAACGGGTTATATAAATTTAAGGAATTATCTGTGCCAGTAAAAAGGAACATTAAACTAAATTTGTGGGTTTAGTTTGTTAAATAAATTTAGATAATTGTATTAAGTCGAGCACGAATTGATTAAATTGTTTGGTTGCTACGAAGGAGCTATTGTTTATGTAAAGTGCGAAATTACACTTGCGCCTCTATTAAAATAGCATTAAGGTTATTGGCGTATCCTGGTGGTCCGTTAACTTGGCCCCCCCACTTAGAGATTTGATAGTCGTATTATTTTAAAATGAATGCGCTCGTTATGCGCTCATATGCGCCACCGATAATAACTCTTGCGCCATTATCGTTTTTTAGAAATCCGAAAAAACATTGGGGGGGGGGGCAAGTGAACGTAGCCCCCCCCAGTACGTATTTTGTCCCTTGTAACTAGGTCACCTGATACATTTGGTTATGCGCTCAATTGCGCCACTTGAATTAAAGCTAGCGCCATTACGGTTAAGCCGTGACAAATTTTCAAAAAGCGGGGGGGCCAACTGAACGTTTTTAAAAGTTACTTTTTTTTAACATCTGTTCATACGAAATTGTACTCTCAGGTATGCGCTGAAATGCGCCGTAAAAATATTGCGCCATTCTTGTTTTTTGGTTATCCTTAAATATATTTGGGGGGGGGGGGCAAGTGAACGGAACCCCCCATAACGCATTTTGCTACCGGTATTTGTGCCACTCGATACATCTGGTTATGCGCTCAATTGCGCCACTTGAATTAAAGCTAGCGCCATTACGGTTAAGCCATAAAAAATTTTTAAAAAGTGGGGGGGGGCTAACTTAACGTTTTCAAAAGTTACGTTTTTTAACATGTTTTTTCTACTACATCGTACCTTTCATCATGCGCTAAAATGCGCCGTAAACAAAAATCTTTGCGCCATTATAGTGTTTCAGAAACACTATACAGGGTGTTTTTTTGGGAGCTTTAGTTCAATGTTTCTGGGAAAGTAAAATAGGTAGGTTTTTAAAAATTTGTACTTAGGAGTTACTCCGAAGGCCGAATCGATGTAAAATATTTTCAAAATCGACGAACTTCCGGAAATACCGGAAGTGGCTAGTAACTTCGTTATTTTAAATGGCAAGCCCTATCTTTTATTACATTTTTGGATTCTACGTGAAATTTCAGCTCTTTTGATATCAACATGTCGATATCTACCATCTATGGTTTTTAAGTTATTTTGACTTGAGACTTGAGAAATGGCGGATGCAGATGGCACTTTGATAATTGATTACTTACTTGAAAACGGTTGTAGTCATAGCAACCCATTTTTATCAGTGCATAGAGAATGAATAGGGCTTTCATTTAGTGTACTTAAAAAAAAGTTAAGTTGCGGACAACCGCACCTATGGAGATCCAAAGTTATGAATCTTCAACGACTAAAACTCAGGTTTTTTTTATTTGAATGACTATTTTCTTACTATTACTATTATTACTATTAACAGACGATCAAATCAAATAGCACTAACATCCATCGTCTTAATAGTATCTTTGACTTCTCCGCATTCCCATTAGCATTACTTTTACTTTTACTCGAGGTGCGTACATACAATTTCATTTAAATATCTTAACAAATACAAAAATTAGATTGCGCATGCGCAATATTATTTTTTCATCTTCAAAATTTTTTGAGGTTTAATGAATATTTACTGACACAGTAAACCGGGCATTTATATGTTCTTTGTAACAAGAATTTATTATAAAAGATACCATTCTTTGAAGGTTCAAGCAGTTTTTGGGGTGTAACTGTTTGGCCCATTAGTCTACGTAACTAAAAAACAATAGCGACGTTTCTTATATCCTTAAGAACATGTGTACCAATTTTCAAAGCGACCGGACGTTTCTAAACAAAGTTATCGTGCACAGGCAGACGGGCAGACATACAGCAGTACAAAATTATAAACTATCTCGAGGATCGTTAATACATGAACTACATTACGACATAATGCATCAACTCCAAACCAAGTAAGATAATACCTATGAGTTGTTGGCGATTATTGCAAACCGAGTTAAAATTGCACAATTAGAACATAACTTCACCGCATACCCATATATATGTATACTGTATTCATTATAAGAAGGTAGATGGCGATGTGTTTGAAGATCGACACATACAGGCAAAATATAAAACGGCACAAAATTTGAAGAATATAAATATAAATTTAACGATATCACGCTTGGATCTTTGAAATTGACAGCTAATGACAGTTCGACAGTTTAAGTTCGTAATTAAAACTTCTAACAGACAGAATTCGTCACTGGTTTTATTTTTCAGGGTAATAGTGACTCGTGTTTTAACCAATCACAGTGAAGGTTAAACTGTCCCTATGCTTTCTACCGCTACCTTCTTAAAATGAATAGCGTTATAGTTCTATAGGTACTAAAAAAGGTTCTCAAAAACTATAATGCGCAAAGATTTATGTTAACCGCTCATTTTAGCGCATGATGAAAGGTACGATGTAGTAGGAAAAACATGTTAAAAAACGTAACTTTTGAAAACGTTAAGTTAGCCCCCCCCCCGCTTTTTAAAATTTTTTTATGGCTTAACCGTAATGGCGCTAGCTTTAATTCAAGTGGCGCAATTGAGCGCATAACCAGATGTATCGAGTGGCACAAATACCGGTAGCAAAATGCGTTATGGGGGGTTCCGTTCACTTGGCCCCTCCCAAATATATTTAAGGATAACCAAAAAACAAGAATGGCGCAAAGATATCTTTTTACGGCGCATTTCAGCGCATACCTGAGAGTACAATTTCGTATGAAAAGATGTTAAAAAAAAGTAACTTTTAAAAACGTTAAGTTGGCCCCCCCACTTTTTGAAAATTTGTCACGGCTTAACCGTAATGGCGCTAGCTTTAATTCAAGTGGCGCAATTGAGCGCATAACCAAATGTATCAGGTGACCTAGTTACAAGGGACAAAATACGTATTGGGGGGGAGGGGCTACGTTCACTTGGCCCCCCCAAATGTTTTTTCGGATTTCTAAAAAACGATAATGGCGCAAGTGTTATTATCGGTGGCGCATATGAGCGCATAACGAGCGCATTCATTTTAAAATAATACGACTATCAAATCTCTCAGTGGGGGGGCCAAGTTAACGGACCCGTATCCTGGAGTCCTGAATCGATGAACGTAGAAGGGTGTGGAAGAAGAAAACTGTAGAACAGTTGGTCATATTTTGCGAATTTTGTCATCAACTGTTTTGATTATTCAGCCGATAAGCTCATTCATAATTTTTCCCAAAGGTGCTGAATCCGGCCGACGGAAACTGCGATGTGGCCAGAGAAGGTGCGATCTGCGTCGGCGAATTAACCACCGCGGATCCGCCCGATAATCGCATCGCAAAACAACCGGACGTTAAAATATTCCTTCCATTTCGCTTTTTGGTTAGAAATTTAACGGAATTGTTCATGCCGGGAAGTTTCGGTAGCCACTTTATGGGTAAGAAAGTTTTTGAAAGGTTATGGAGCGATAATATTGCATTTTCAGTTGCCGGCGGAGGGTTCCATCTTACAGCTTTTATCGATGGTGTTTCCTTCGATTCGCCCGATTACCCTGTAATTATTCAAATGAAAGAGAACGAACCGATTGAGTACTGTAATAAGGAGCATATGAGCGAGAAGTGTAGTCCCAATTGTGTTTGTACGCATTTGATTCCTATACCTTATGGATCTTTGGTTGAAATCATTATGGTAGACGAAGTTGCTATACCCCGTTTAGCTCATCCCTTCCATCTACACGGATATGCTTTTCACGTTGTCTCTGAAGGGTGGATCGATCCTGAGTATGCAAAGATGGATCTCAGAACGGCAGTAGAACTGGACAGAAATGAGCAAATGCCAAGGCGCCTGGCCGATTCGCCTCGCAAAGATACCACCGCAGTCCCTTCAAACGGTTACGTGGCATTGCGCTTTATTGCCGACAACGCCGGTGCTTGGTTCTTTCATTGCCATTTCATGTATCACATGGCAGTAGGTATGGAGCTGGTGCTGCAAGTAGGCAACTCGTCACAAATCCCCCCGATTCCCAAAGGATTTCCGAGATGCGGTAGCTTTGTTCCCCAAGACTGGTAAAGCATACGTAATTTTACTATAGTCACCATTACGCAACTGCTGCACGAAAGTAAATTAGAAATTTTCAATTCGACGCTAATACAGAAAACCACACGCCAATGCCCATATTAACTACTCGAGTGCAATTGTGCGTGTCTACTGCATTAATAACTTAGATTTTCTTGTTCTCGGTTTGTATAAACTTTCACTACCTACGTAAATAATATATGGAAACAGCACTTTAACAAATATAGCAATCATAATAATTATCGGTATCTATATCACTAATTCAAATCACATAAAAGTAGATTCTATCAAAACTTTTTCATGAATTATTCATGAAATTGGCCGATATAATTAGTTTATTGCAAATTCGGTGTAAAAACTTATTGTTTGTACCTCTGGGACATTGTATAATTTTCACAAAATAAAAAGTTACCCATATAAATTATATTTATGTCCTACACTAAAACAGTTTGATGAATGGGGTTTGTTCTGTACATGCTTCTTCCTGTCTATAACGTTAAATTATGTTCCTACTGCTTTGACTTCTGATACTACAGTGCAATTCTATCTTTAATTTTCAATTGTGCTCATTGTCGTCGAAGGGTTAGTTTTACGTATACCCTCCTAACATACACCCTCAACCCGATACACTATGAAAATTAATGACGTCATCTTTAGGGCCGACGCCCAAACTATTCAAATCTCAGACAATTAGCATCTGAAATGATATCACTTCACAAGTGTCCCTGTGTTTAAAGTGAATTCAGGAAGATGATAAAGTACAGGTATTTTATTGTGCGAAATTTTCTTATCTTTAGAAATTATTTGCTGGGTTTATTTTTGTATAAGTATCAACTTCCATCGTTTTTTCTTTGGCATTTGGTCCACTAAAAATCATCAGAACCAGCAATTAACAAAGATAGCGTCTGAATTTTAACGGTAAAAAGTCCGCATAACGTCAAGATCATACAAATGATTGAAAAGTAAGTGACTTTATTTTTTTGTATTTTCGTCTGTGGGGTTGGAACATGAATTTGTTGTGGGTAGATTTAATTGAAGGGAAAAGATAGGGTTGAATTTCAGATTTAAGGTGTTTGCAATTGCTTTTTAAGTTTGTCACGTGTGTTTACTAACCCAGTAGATGTAGAGTCTCGTGTAATTTGAGCAAGCAGAGTGGGTAATTAAAAAAATAAATACCATTAAATTTTGGTTGTAAATCTAGTTTTTGTAACCCTTTTAAAATCATTCTCAGTGACGAATAGTGAAATGAAAACTTTATTTATTTTTTTAAGTGCTAGCCCTAAAGCTCTGCGTGATGGTTCAGTATTTTGTATTTTTGTGTGAATCATACTGGACGAAGACGAACGGTTTGAGTCTAGGTTTAGGTAGTGTTGTATAAATTAATGCAATACATAGCTACCTTTTTTAGCGCATTAAATGCGCTATTATATTCGTTATGGTTGGCTGGCTGTCCGGCTGAGATCTCAGCAACTACAATACGATAATTTTGAACTTTACTAATGAAATACTGATCTGCATTAGCAAAAATGCGCTTTCATCATGCATATGCTGATTTACAACTTGGTTTCACTGGCTTTTATGAAATTTACGTAACTTACGTTTTTTTTATTTTAAAAACCGTAATTTTTGTAAATTTACATAAATGTAAAACCTATTTAATACATTGTGATCGGTACTACCACAGACCATCAACGGTACTACCAACGTAAACGATTCACCTGAATCTAGTTTGCTTTAATGAAGATGCTACAGCATCTAATTTCACGATCTGGAACTTCTTCTTCCAAACGACGCGTGATGGCGAAATACCTACTGCTTGGGTATTTTATTTAACACACCAAAATATATAATTTATCCACTGTTTTTGTTTTCAAACACTCACAAAATTCAAAAAGGTTTATGGAATATTAAAAAAAAACATAAAAAACATAAAGGACAGGTAATTTTACAAAAATATTTGTAAATTACGTAAAAAACATAAATTACTGGTAATTTTACTGTAAAAATTACGGGTTTTTTAAAAAAATGGTAAGTTACATAAATTACATAAAATACCATAAAAACATAAACAATTGGTAATTTTACAGGTAATATTACGCACTTTAAAAAAACGTGCAATTTCACATCATTACACAGGATACGTTTCCTTAATTGAAAAACACATTCAATATGCACCAGCCCTTTCCTAGTTAATACTCTTACGTAAGTAAACTACGAACTACTAATCATTTCGCACATTTAGTACGCCTATGTAGCTTGTATAATTAACGAGAATTAACATAAGATATTTGCTTAAAATGCACATTTTGTAATTTCATATTTTTGTCGCAAAAAAAAGGAATGGACTGGTTAAGTAACGTTATACTATTTGAAAGGTTTTTTCCGTCATCTCTAATCATTGTAATTGAATTGAGCTTGATCTTAAATCGAAATCATTCGATTGTTAGTTCGGACACCATCAATCATCAAGTCTACTAGAATTAAGAAATAATTATTTGGTAAATAAAAGGAATGTCAAGATCACTGACGACCAATTTTTGAAATTATTTGAAGCATTTATTATGGCATCTGTTACATACAACTTTCTTCTTATTCTTCTCCACAAGCGTGAATAAAGGATAATAACTACATACAGATCGAGCTCGTGTTTAAAAACGATTAACTCTTTGTCTTTATATAATTGTTTATAATTGGTTTATGTAACTGATGTACCTAAAGTTTCAGTCTTGTGCTTTGACTGAAGTTACTGTTTCTATTATTAATAGACGTTTTAATAATCGATTGACTAGGCAATTAATCATCACAGCGTATTCATCATCGATCATCATTAATCTGTAATTACGCCAAATTTCTTCTGTTCGCATCGACAATTTTAACTTTCAACCTAAAGAGAAAATAAATCGTGGTTGTAGTTGGAAAATCAATTGCCCTTTGATATTTAAATATATGGTACTTACTGATTTGTTCATCTCTTTTTATTTACTTGTTTTATTATTGCCCATTTACAGGAGTGTTAATAACATAAGTTGAAACTAATTAAATTTATAAAACAAAATAACATAAATCAAAACAATGGGTAAACAGCAAAACAAAACAATGAACCATAATACGTTAAGATAACATATATAATGTAGCAGTGAAATGTAGTAAAATGATGAACAAGACATCCCCCAAATAAAAATTATTAATAATTATCAATAAAGGACTGTTTTATAAGAGTCGCAATTTACATCAACATGTTCAATTCAAAAACTTGGGATTTTTAGAGCATATTGGAAATTGGAATGTGATGTTTTACAATAAAATGTTATATGTATTGCCAAAAACTGCAGGCCCCTAGAACAATTCCCCTAAAGTAGTTCAAAACCGCCGAAATTGGTCCGGACGGACGGACGAACCGCAAACAATAGTATACATTTTTTTAGATCTTAAAAAATGTGCTAAAAATAAATGAAAAAACAGAAATAAAAAAGGATAAATGGTAAGGAAGGTGTAAAAGAAAGAAAAGAATTTGAATTATCATTGACAACCAAGTAATCGAAATTACCATTAACATTACTTTGAGAAGTATACACACTACTAAAGTATTTCGCAAAAGCATTCACAATATTTTGTGGAGTGCTGTTGTAATGCATTTTTAAAAGAATTCTAGCGTTACCTTTTTTTTGTATAAATAACCAAAACTTCTTAATATCTTTTTTAGCAATAGATAATTCAATAGTCCTTATTAAACGTTTTGTATGTAATCTCACTCGAGAAAAATGGGCAGTCTTAGGAAAGGGTTGAAACATTTCTATTTCAACCAACTATATTTGTCGTTACGTTTTTATACCGAAATAAGTAGAAATTGTGTGATGCAAAGCAGAAATGGAACAAGATTTTAACTTTACTTTTGAGAGATGTGGCAATTTAATTAATAATTATTAATAATTACAATGATTGTATTAGATTGAAAAGATTATGGTCATACGATCATAGATTAAACAATACTACCTTTTTTTTCAACCAATAGACCCTTTATTGTGTTAGTAATAATTGTCCAGTTCCATGTATTTTTCTAAAACTCAGTGGATGTATACCGACTATGCTAATCCAAATGAGAGATATATTTAAAATAATTTACGAAATGTTACCAAAAATTGTGTAAAAACAATTAATATCTGAATTGTGCCTTTTATTGAACTAATTTGCCGTTACCAATGACCTTCGAAAATTAAATAGTTTATTTTAGTGCACCCAACAAACATTGTGAAATGTAGGTTATCGTAAGATCTACTAAAACTGTTAAATATTGAAATTCCTGAAATTTGTATGAGAGAAGGGGCACCGCGGAGTAAACAGAGTTTTATGGTCAAGGTGGACGTGCATAAGAATCGCAAGCTTTTACCCAAACTTGCAATTAATTAGTTCAAATTTTTTAATTTGATCCTTGCATGCCCATAAATTTTCGCTGATTTATCTGTCTACCAATTAAACAACCGCATTCAGTCATTATTCAATGTTCGATCTTCGCGACAAAAAACCAGGTGAAATCGGCTCGGCAAAAATCAACGCTAGATTTTGTAAGGAATGTGAAAACACGAAATTGCAAATTGAGTAGCTACTTTCAGAACTAGAACAAGACCTACATCAAATAAGGTAAATGCAAAAAACAGAGTAAAATCAAAATCCCTTTTATGGGGACATCATACATGCAACACATCACCTTAAGCTAATAATTTAAACCGAAGTCTATGCAGTGTTTTTTTGCAAAAACGATTAATTACTCCAATTTCTATACGAGTAAAAGTATTTACTTAAAACTTTTCAGTTTCTTCTTAATTTCCTCAGAATTTTCTCTCATTTCGTCATATATTTCACGAAAATTTGTTCAATAAAGATCATTTTAATTTGTTCCATTACTTTACTTTTACCTAATTTCCTAAGAAATGGGCATATATACCTCCATATTTCCTTATGACTCCTGAGGGGTTACCCCAGAATCTTCTCTTATTTCCTCAACACTTCTGCTTATACTTTCTCAATTCTCAAGGTTTACTTTTTCCTATTCCGTCAAAATTTTCTTATAATGCTCTAGTACCCAAAATTTAGTCTCATTGTCTTTTATTTTCCTATATCGCCAGGAGTTTCTCTGTGAAGTTTTCCTTAAACTCACCTCACGTTTGCCGGGAAGTCATTCATTCCCCCTTTTCTTGTGTTCTCTTACATTTCCCCAATCTCGATACAAAATAAGTGATCGTATTTCAATAGAACTTGCTTTTTCTTCCCAAAATTACTAACCACTTTTTCCAAATTTCCCAATATCCCTCAACATTTTCTCTTCCTCAAAACGCTTTCGTTTTTCCCTAACACTCGTCCCCCAAAATTCCACACGATTCTACCAACATTCTCTTATTCTCCCATAGCTT